GTTGCTTCAACAGTACCATGTTAATACGCAATAGGGAACTTTTAGTGCATGCCAGCAGGGCCTAGATGGGCCAGTTAGCGTGCAGCACGTTGGTGCGCTTTCAAATTCACACCCCTCCAGTGTGCATTGCCGCACTGTGTAGACCAGGGGCCAACAACCTTCGTCATGCGGCCCATTAGGGTAATCCACTGGCGGGCCGCGAGACATTTTGTTTACATTGACCGTCTGCAAAGCACGGCCCCCCCCGCAGCTCCCAGTGGCCGTGGTTTGCCGATCCTGGCCAATGGGAGCTGTGGGAAGCGGCGTGGGCCGCAGGGACGTGCTGACCGCCGCTTCCCGCAGCTCCCATTGGCCGGGAATAGCGAACTGCGGCCACTGGGAGCTGCGGGGGGGCCGTGCCTGTGGTGGTCAATGTCAGCAAAATGTCTCATGGCCTGCCAGCGGATTACCCTGCTGGGCTGCACGCTGAAGGTTGCCGACCCTTGGTATAGACCAGGCCCAAGTCTCGCTCAGGGTACGTCTACACTGCAGCTGGGTGATGTAGTTCCCAGCGTGAGCAGACTAACACACGCTGACTCTGCTTGAGCTAGCTCGGTAGAAACAGCAGTGTGGCCATGGTGTGGGCAGCAGCTCCAGCCAGCTGCCCGGGTACATACCTAGGATCTCAGGTGGGCTTGTGCTTGTTTGGCTAGCCCGTGCCCAAGCCACTGGCCATACCGCTAGTTTTAGCGGGCTAGCTTGAGCAGAGCTACCGCTTGTAGGTCTACCAGTTACGGTGCAGACACCACCTGAAAAACAAGGGAACATAGGAGTCTAAGTCACCTAGGTGTTTATGAAAATGTTACCCACCGGCTTTGGGTTTGTCGGGAGCTGAGATTGATAAACTCACTGCATCTCCACCCTGGGTGATTTTCCATGATTCCATTTGTTTTGGAATCATTCCCTGAGAATTGAATTTCAGGGGATGGGGCGGGGATTCTTGGACTGTCTCTTCCTCAAGTTGGCATCTCATGCAGGAACACTTTTGATTTGTAATACGGTGAAGGAGGAGATGAATTGGGACCAGATGATGATACCCTTGCTCCAGCTAAGTAACACCTTGTTCCACAGGTAGTCCCATTGCCTATAGTGGGACTAGCCAAGGAGTAAGGTGCTACTCAAGGTGAGTAAGTTAATGTGGGAATCTGTCCCTTAATTCAGTGGCTCTCAACCTTTCCAGACTACTGTACCCCTTTCAGGCATCTGATTTATCTTGCATACTCCCCAAGTTTCACCTCACTTAAGAACTACTTGCTTTCAAAATCAGACATAAAAATACGAGTGTCAAAGCACACTATTACTGAAAAATTGCTGACTTTCTAATTTTTACCATATAATTATAAAACAAATCAGTTGGAATACAAGTATTGTACTTCCATTTCAGAGTATAGTATATAGAGCAGTATAAACAAGTCATTGTCTGTATGAAATTTTAGTTTGTATTGACTTCACTAGTGCTTTTTCTGTCACCTGTTGTAAAACTAGGTAAATGTCAAGATGAGTTGAGAACCACTGCTTAACTCTCTCCCACAGTTAGGATTGTTATATGATTTTTCACTCATTCTCCTTGACCCTCGGCATAGGCTCGGTGTTCAGATGGAAAGAAGGTGCGATTAGATGTCTGGCTGCATGTGTGTGTTCTCTCTGCACGCTGTACTGACTTTAGTCAGACAGCCCGTACACCAGGCTCCTATTGAACAGCCCAATAAATCCACAGACTTAGTTTTTAGCGAAGGAACTTCCTTAGGTTAATTGCCGACCAAGCACGGTGCTAATGCCCCGGCACAGAGGTTACAGGTGCACTAAGGCGTGTATGTTTGTGACAATGGCCGGACTTTCCACGGTTCCCTCGGCCAGACAAAGACACTCCCATTGAGACTTGATTTTATACGTTAATTCAAACAAGTTCCGTACTGCCCCTCTGAAGTATTTAGTGACACCCTCTAAACGTGTTCCTGTTCTCTGTGGGGAATGTGCTGGTATGGAGGTGTTCTGCTACCACCCTTCTGGAATGAATCTGCGCGAGTGCTTGGTGCCTTGCACCTAGGGTTGCCAAGCCTCCAGGACTATCCTGGAGTCTCCAGGAATTCAAGATTAATCTTTAATGTCATCTGATGAAACCTCCAGGAATTTGTCCAACCAAAGCTGACAGCCCTACCAGCACCTCTTAGGAATGTAGTTTTTTGCAATATCAGCCCTGTTCTTGCCAGACTCTGTGAGCAGGGCCTGCCTCTAGCTCACAGCCTGACTTTTCTTTATATTAGCAAAGCTTTGACCACTACTTTAGTCTAGGCCTCATATCAGGCCTTTGATACCAGGACTTATGTCTCATGCTCTCTTCCTACTACATTCCCCCACTTTTTGTCTTTCTATGGGATGGAGGTTTACCCATTGTCCTGGAAAAGCATAATGCATGGACTGAAGATGGCCCAGTGAGCTAAACACTGTTATGTGGTCACCTTACTATACCATTTACACATTCATGCCCCATCTGTTCCTCGGTTTGTACATTTTTTTCTACAACTGAGGGACAGATTTTATTTTCCAATTATGTGTAGTTTTTTATGGTGGGCTTGGGAGTGTTAGGCCCAGGACTTCGATTGCGGAATGTAGTTTTATAACTGCCATGGTATTGTGGTTTGGCCCTTGGGGTACCACAGATAGCTACACACACCTCTTAGGGCATTTACAGTTACCACCTCTATTATTATAATTGGTAGTAGGCTGAGTGTTTTGAAATACTGGGGTAGGTATTATAACAGTGTGTTTTACAGGGCAATGAATTTGAGAAGTAAAAGAAATGTGGAATATTATCATTACAAATGAGGCCTGTACATATATATTTTGGTCATTGGCTGCTACACAGTACTGTCCATTCATGTTCTAGGTTACCCTTCCTGCTGGTTGTTACCATTTGGTAAGCTTTACTGGGCAGGAGACAAGAACAGCTAGCTTCTCTGTTCCATTGGTTGCATTGCTTCGTGATACACCAGTAGCTGACGTAAATTGGCACTGTTTTTCAGATAACCTACTGAATGGGCAGTAACCAATTTGTTAAACATTGCTGTTCCCGGGTTTAGTATTGGTACCCAGACACTGAGCAAGACTGTTTTGAATAACATGTGCCTTACTTAGGATGGTCACTGGCCCCAAAGGGTGACTGGTATTACCAGGGAATTTGTTTACCCAATTTTGAAGTTAAGTTACACAGTTAATTTTTTTTACCTATTTGGGTTGGGGGGGGGGGGTTTGCCTTCACATTGTTTGCTGCCATTTATTTGTTTTTTTTTTACTTGTGTGTTGGTTAAACAGTTTAGCAACATTATGCACATTGTAAATGTTGCACAGCAATAACACAACACACAACAATAATACAGTTGCTTTTACACAGTTTACACAATTAAATGACAGTTTAACCTGGTTCAGCGAGTGGTTTCTAGCTGATTGCCAACGTAATTGTTCGTATATGGTAGACTGAGGTGTAGTTGACCAGTTATTTATTTATAAAGCATTTTATTTTTCTTTTCTTGATGCTGGGGGGTTTCTTTACTGTGTATTAATATCTTCTGATGTCTTTGGGGTGGGATATTTGGCGGGGGGGGGTTGGTCTGTGGGATGCAACCCTAAACAGCTTAAGTTAGTTAACATCATAAAGTTTTTTGTTTAACATTTTTCTCGTTTTTAGTAACCCAAATTGAATACACTTCTTAACTTAGTGTGTTTACAATGCAATAGGGACCAAGCTTTTTATAAAACAAGCTCTCCTTTTGCAATTGTTGTACAGACATTCATTTTTCACTTGCGGTGCATTACTGATATTTTATGTACTACATAGAATGTTCAACTGCTTAAATTAATGCTTAGCTTTTTTTATTGCTTTCCCCTGCTGAGCTTTTTGTTGTAGCAAAAGAGTTAATATTATAATTTTTACCCAAGCCTTTTAGAGTTAATTTGCTCGTGATACCAATGTCACTTTTGTTAACTGTTTGGAGGCACAAACGTTAACCACTACTTTCCTCTAACGTAACTTAAAACAGAATAAAAATGAAATTGAAGTGAATTTTAAAGACAGGTTTATGGAAATATTTTGAGGGTATTAAACTCTGATTACACTTGGTTGTGTTTGGGTGACACAGGCAGAAACCTGTTGAAATGGTTTGGTTAGCTTTATGCGTAAATTTTTGTTTTTAAAACATTTTTGCTATGACGTTGTGATCACAATATATTTAATAAGCTGCAAACAAGTTTATAAAAACCCAAATAAGAAATTGACGTTTTGTTAATATTACCTTTACCTTAATGCTGAGGTTTCCCTTACATTTTTTTGTTTTGTTTTTGATTAGGTTGCTCCTGGGGCCAGGTCTACACTACGCACTCAGATTGGTATAACTACAGGATAAATCCACACCCCTGAGCGCCGCAGTTATACCAGCCTAACCCCCAGTGTAGACAGCACAGGGCTTCTCCCGCCGACATAGCCACTGCCTTTCACAGAGGTGGATTAACTACACCAACGGGAGAAGCTGCAGCATTTTACACATAGACCTGCCCTCAGTTGTGTCTGCCAGACTGACTTTGGCTTGTGAAGATACTTTGAAGAACAGCAGCCAGAGCCTTTGCTGGTGTAAATCACTGTAGCTCCGTAGAGTTCAGTGGAATTATGCTGATTTACACCAATCAAAGATTTGGCCCCCAATTTTCCTAACCAGGACTTTATTCCACACCTGCTCTAGTTAAGCCGAAAGAACTAGACAGGGGGAGCGTTTGCAGAGGGACAGAGGAAATATAGCTTGGGATGATTTCAGGGTACAGCCAGGCCTTGAAACACACCTCTGGAGAGGAGAGCTGTGCTGAATGTTTTGTATCAGGGTATCTAAGGCCTTCAGATCTCTCTATGGGGCCCATACTTAGCTCTGTCCATGATCATGTCTTTCTCTCTCTCTTTAAATCCCCCTTTACAGATAGAGACGCTCAAGATCCATTCAGAGCCTAAAAACTAGACTGTGGAGATGTCTGTGAAGTGAGCCAGTTCCCAAGCACAAGATCAAGGGATGATCCGAGGCTGTCATGTTTCCTCTCGAATGTTTTGTCCCTGTGCCCCTCTTCAGCAGAGAGATGCCTAGTTCTGCGCCTGCTCCCGCCAGCCCAGCCCTCTGTTGGTGACACACTCTTGCTGTCCCAGTGAAGGTTACCTGGGCTGCTGGCATCATTCCCGTACAAAAGAGAGAGCGGAGGGAGGAATGAATGAATGAAATTATGCTGTTGAAGACACAGCTGGAACTGATGTGCAACGACTGATGCTCTGCAGATTTTGCAACGAGACAAGTCATTCCAGAGCCAACAAGTTCCTCCTTGCAAGCAGAGCTAAGCTGTACCCCCTTCTCAGCTGCTAATCTCTCTGCTCAGCTGTGGGCTAGTCTGTGCTCAGTGGGTCTCGAGGTCTTGGGCTGCAGGCTAGAAGACCAAGGGCTACCATGGAAGAGAATGTGTTCAGTGTGCAGCAGATACAGCCCAATGTCATTTCAGTGAGACTCTTCAAGCGCAAGGTTGGCGGTCTCGGTTTCCTGGTGAAGGAACGAGTCAACAAGCCCCCGGTAATCATCTCCGACCTGATTCGGGGAGGGGCAGCTGAGCAAAGCGGCCTCATCCAGGCTGGGGACATTATCCTGGCAGTCAATGGCCGGCCCCTGGTGGACATGAGCTATGAGAGTGCCCTGGAGATCCTGAGGAGCATCGCTTCAGAAACCTATGTGGTTCTGATCCTGAGAGGTCCTGAGGGCTTCACCACTCACCTGGAGACCACTTTTGCCGGTGATGGGATGCCAAAGACTGTTAGAGTAACCAGACCTTTGTGCCCAACTGCCAAAGCGGTCGACTTATCCAATCCAAGAGATCTGCAGCAGGGTGCAGACCATACCATGGGCTCGGCTAGTTCAGCATGGGCCAGGGAGAACAGGAAGGAAGCGGAGTCCCTTGTGCACGTCAATGGTGTGGTTACCAGCACTAAAGGCGAGGACGGGAAGGGAAGGGACAATGCCGGTGCCAATCCTTGCCTGAACGGTGGGGTCGAAAACAATGAACTGCTAAAAGAAATAGAGCCAGTCCTGAAACTCCTGAAGAGCGGCAGTAAGGAACTCAATGGAGACGTGCCAACCAAGGTGGAGACAAGAGATATAGAAGTCCAGGTGGACTGGTAGGTACCTATGTACATTTTTTACCTTTGGTATAGATTATGGTGACACAAGTCAAATGGGTTTGGTGGGGTCAGGTTAGAGCCTTCTCCAGGTCACAGACCTATTGACCACTAAGGCATGATGCTCAGGAGAGAGGAGGCAGGAAAGAGAGAGACAGCTAGAAAGGGAAAAGAGAGAACAAACGGGAGCAGAGTGTGGGAGAGAGGAAAATGGAGGTAAGGGGAGGACAGATGAGTGGGGGAGAAAACCAGAAGTGGGCAGGAAGCATGGAAAAATGGAAAGGGGAGAAAAAGGAGATTGGAAGGGGACAAAGGGATGGGAAAATAAAATTCCACGGACACCAGAGCTAGCAGTGTGGTATACCAGATTGGGCATTGAACAGATATTCGGCACACCTGGCTTCTATTCCTGGTTCTGCCACTGACGTGCTGCATGACCTTAAGCAGAGTTCGGTGCCTCGGTTTCCCCATCTGTAAAAAGAAGCCAATGATATTGGCCCTTCTAGTACAGTGCTTTGAGTTTTCTTCATAGAAGATGCCATATAAGAGCTAAATCTTTTATTATGACAACCCAAACCTTCCAGAAGGGAAGCTCAGCTTGCTGTAAATGAAGCTTCTAACGGCCACTGTATTTCAAAATGCTCTGTGCCTGTTCTGGCACCCAGACCCAGCTGTCAGAAGTCCAGTCCTGCTCCTACAGAAAGCAGTGGGAGTTCATCCACAGATTTCAGTGAGAACAGGTTTGGATCCTAGATGTGGAGCTCTGCTTCTCTAGTTTTACGCGAGCAGGAGAAACGCTATAAGCCGAGAATCTTTAAAGGGCCCCTGAGGGCTTGAAAAACTACATTTCACTGGAATGTAATTGAGGAGCTGCGTAATTCCCCCCCTGTGTTTTTAATTGTTGTTAATTGTTCTGGTGTTTGTGTGCTGGCAGTAGCAGGCTCCTTCCCAATTAGCTCTCTCCTCCTGGCCATTTATTAGCAATGATGCATTGCCCTTTTCTAGTCCCTTTCCACAAGAATCTCAAAGCATTTTACAAACATTTCGGGTACATCTGCATAGCAAAAACAACCCCAAAGCAGTGAGTCTCAGAGCCCGGGTCAACTGACTCTGGCTTGAGGGGCTTGCGCTCTGGGGCTAAAAATAGCTGTGTAGACATAGCCCAGGCTCCAGCCTGAGTGGGTCTGAAATCTTGTAAGATGAGCCCAAGCTCCAGCCTGAGACCAAATGTCTACACTGCTATTTGTAGCCTGGTAGCGTGAGCCTGAGTCAGTTGACCTGGGCTCTGAAACTCATTGCCACAGAGTGGTTTTTGCCGTGTGGACATACTCTGGGTCTGCCAGGCCCCTTGTGAGGTGGTGATTGTTAATTTACAGCTGGGGAAACTGAGGCACAGAGCAGTGAAGGCCAATGTTTTCAGAAGCGGGTCACTGATTTTTGGCAATCCCAGTGTTTGGGTCCATGGCTTGAAATGCCAGCAGGCCTGATTTTCAGAGGTCCTGAGCATCCTAAATTCCAGCTGTAGTTCGTGGGGTCTGCAAGGACTCCACTCCTCTGAAAACGAAGTTGTGGGTGTCTCAGGTTGCGCACTCAGAAACAGAAAGATGCAAAACCAGCGGTCGCTTTTGGAAACCTGTTGACCTAAGGGAGTCACCGGCATCACAGAGAAAGTCAGTGGCAGAATCAGGAGCAGTGGATCCCAGGAATCTTGACCCCTATACGCCTACTTGACCTGCTAGACATCAGTCTCTCTCTATGTCCCTCCTTTGTTCGTGACTGTGACATTGCAATAACTTCTGTGGAATGGTCTGTGACGCCACAAAGACTCACGGTGATATTGCTGAAGAGGAAGGGAAGGCTGATTGTAGAGGAGACCGCACCTGAGGATAAACCCAATGAACGGTTTGCCATGCTAGGATGGCAATAAGCCAGGGTGAATCCAGGGAGTTGGCTGGTGAATTAGTCTAAGTTTGAAAGCTTGCAAGGGTTGGGAGCAGGGTAGGGGAGGGGGAAGAGACAAAAGACACTGAAAGCCATGCAGCTGAAAGGAGCCTTGTCCTTGTAAAAGTATCGAAAGGAAGTGGAAAATTTTCTGTAAAAATTGTTTAAGGAAAACGGTGGCTTTGAAACTTTTGAGACCAGTATCAGCTGTCTGTGGTAAACGTCAACTTTTTGACAAAACACGAACCTGAAACCAAAAAAAATATTTCTACCTGGAAATGCCACTCCCTGGTGCCTCCTGGGAGTTACAGTTTGGCTGTCTCATGCCTCTGTTCTCCTCTCTGGCTGGGCTCACTAGCTGGAGTACCTAACTTTCTGCAAAAAAAAAAAAAAAAAAAAAGTCCAACCAGCTCCAATAAACTCCATGATAAAATGCCCATGTTTTCTTTTAAATGCTGAATCAGTAGGTTTCATGCAGAATCATGGTGAGGGAAGGTGAATGGCTTCAATTCTCCAGCTTCTGAAGAGAGGCTAAAGAGCAGAGAGAGCTGTCTCCCACTTTATTCCCGAGGGTGCTGAGCCCCACCTACAACCAGGTAGTAAGAACCCTCAACTCTCATTGAAGTCAGGGGGGCTGAGGGTGGTCCAATCCTAGCTCCTCAGTGGAATCTGTCCTAAGCAGCTATCCCAAGAACCAGCAAGAATTAGTGGCCCTGAAGAAGTTAGTGTTTAACTACACCTCAAGGAGCACACTAGCATCCTTGGGTCGCTTTAAAGTGGGTCTCTGGAGAAAAACTCTGGCACAGGCTTCACTCGGAGGCTAGTATAAGGCTGAGAGGGAGCATGAAGTCCTGTAAAAACGAAAAGGGCAGTGGCATAATTCACTGAATTGGGGGTGAAATCCTGGGGCGCGGTCATGCTAGAGGTTTTAGACCGACATAGAAGAGCAGAAACTCTGCAGGGAAACTGGCAGAGAGCAGCTCTGTGGGTCAAAGAGTGGTTTCACCTTCGAGAGAGATGTGGGACAGTCACCCCAGTCCCTACCCACCACTACATTGGGCTGAAGATGGTCAACTCATGTCCTGTGCTATCTGCTCAGTCTAAAACAGAGCTGGTGCACTGGGGAGGCCTGATCATATGGAGAGAGGGACAAGCACAGAAAACCCAGGGAGACTGGACAGATTCTGTAGTGGCAGACTCCATTGAAATGCCTATAAAATGAGTAACCCTTAGAAGAATTAGACAGTGGTTAAGTGCAGCTGTGACACCATGGGCTGTGACCTCTTCAGATCTCCAGTTGGTCCTAGTCAGAGTGGGAATGGGAGATCTCCAGGTGAATCCCAATTATTGCAGGTGCTGATGTTTGCTCTTTCGTCCGAGGTCAGTACTGAACATATGCCTCCATGTGGCGTTAAGGGGGCACTGTGATGTTAAAGAGGCCATCTTTTGGACAAGAGCTAAAGCTGAGGTGCCGACCACTCACGGTCACTAACGGTCCAGTGGCTCTTAGTCTCAGAATGAAGGTGTTAGTCTCAGCTAGAGTCTAGTGTTACTAATTGTGTTCTGCCTACCTAATTCCCTCCCGCCTTTGTAACTGGGTGCCATGTTGTTCTCTTCCTGAACCATTGTGTAACATTGCACATGTTTCAGAGTAGCAGCCATGTTAGTCTGTATCTGCAAAACGAGAAGGAATGCCACAAGTACTCCTTTTCTTATTGCACATGTTGTTAAGCGACAGTTGCTCCGTAGTCCAGAGATGGTGGCATTTCAGGATGAAGCCAGTTCCCTTTTGCGGAGCTTTGGAGATTCTTTAGCAGGAAAGGAATGGCGCAAATGTGGAGTTCATTAATAATGGGTCAAGTAATGAGGGTCTTACTCAAGACAGTCTCCCTCTGAAATCAGTGAATGTTTTTCCCTGAGTAAAAAGTGAGTAAGGACCTCAGGGTTTTGACACCAACAGACCCTGATCGTCAGCGAGCGGGATTGAACCTGGGACCCCTGAAGCCTCTATTGCATGAGCTAAAAGCCACATGGCCTTTAGCTAGGGCTGTAGAGCAGACTCATTGAGCTCTCTCTAAGTCAGGGGTGGCCAACCTGGGGCTCCGGAGCCACATGCGGCTCTTCAGAAGTTAATATGCGGCTCCTTGTCTAGGCACCGACTCCGGGGCTGGAGCTACAGGTGCCAACTTTCCAATGTGCCGGGGGATGCTCACTGCTCAACCCCTGGCTCTGCCCCCACTCCACCTCTTCCCCTGTGCCTGCTATGCCCTTGCTCCTCCCCCTCCCCCTCCCAGCCTCCTGCAAGCCACGAAACAGCTGATCAGGAGGTGCGGGTAGGAATGGGGCGGCGCTGATTGGCGGGGCTGCCGGTGGGCAGGAGGCGCAGGGAGCTGATGGGGAGGCTGCTGACGAATTACTGTGGCTCTTTGGCAATGTACATTGGTAAATTCTGGCTCCTTCTCAGGCTCAGATTGGCCCCCCGGGTTCTAAGTGGTCTTGGTGCCACTAGATGGGACAGAACACCACACCCAGGAGGTGTGTGGGTTACGTAAGCGATACAAGAAGTCACTAAGACTGCACCTGGCAGGAGGTGACTAAATTGCGTCCTAAGCTTCCTTGGTCTGTATTCATCTGGGAAGATGCCTCAGTTATTAGATGCCATCCAGTCACCCGTAGTTAGATAGAAAGATGGTAGTTTTAGGCAGTAAAGGCCTAAAGAAGAGTAACACCATAGTAAGAGGTAGACTGGTGTGGAGGACGGAAGTTGTTTTACAAAGGATTGAGAAATCTGGCTTCATTCTGTACCTGAATGACATACAACATTTTAAAAATTCTTCATGAAGGAAAATTCTGGGGGAAAAAAATTCATTTGGGGGCAATCAAAACATTCAGATTCTGACTTTTTCATTTTGTACTATGATATACATAATATTCTAAACACTTTTTTAAAAAAAAATTACAAACAAAAAATGGAAACACTTCTTTCTGGAAGTGTTGAAACGGGATGTTTTGAGGTTGTCAGAATGGCTTTTCCTCTAAAACTAAATGCCAGTCTAAAT